ATTATTTTTTTAAATAAATTTTGGGGGGGTTTTCTGGTGAGGACTGGAAAACCTGCTAGACAAAATCTAAAAGAGCTGTTAACACTAGACCATCAATCTTTTAATTACCTATTTTATCACCCTAAGCAATTGTTAGCTAGGCAACAATTTGCCTTTTAAAAAGATGACTCCTAGGTGAAACAAGGCAGAAAATTTATATCTCAAAAGCACAGAGCTAAGGCTTTAGGCCTAAATATTGTGCCATCATTTGCTCATACCAAGGGGAAAAAAAGTTGCATGTAAAGTCCCAGTTAAGACAAGATTGCCAGGAAAAGTACCCTAAACAAACGTAAGACTTGTCATGTAAAATCAGAACGATGGTAAGAGTTTCAAGTGACTCCTGTTTTTGTCATTCTTAACTACAGTAATTCAGAACTTCAGCTGCCAAGTTTGGTGCTAACATCCTCACTGATGTGGTTCATGCTCTGCTCTTAAAATAATTCCTTGGTTGCTGTTAGAGGCTCCTATCATAATATACAAAATGGCAAGGATCAATTTTTTAAAATCATGAAATAAATGGAGCTACAATGTATTTTTTTTCTTGAAAATATTCCCTTTCCTATCATTCCCTTTATTTAGCAATTATAAACCCTGGTCAAGCAGCAAAACAGTAGAACATTTTAAATACCAACAAGCCACAAATAGCAGTGTTTTCAAGGAGAAAAAAAGGAAAATCTCAGTTTCATGCTAAACCATCCTTTGATGCACTGTCATTTTAAGTGTCAAGGTATCAATTATTTCTCCTGTGCTGAAAGGTCTACAAATTTAAAGGTTCTGCAGATCCACTAAGAAAATAAGCAACCATTTCTCTCTATCATTAAACACAAAAGGATACTAGTCCTGTGCTAGTTTTAAAACACCAGCAGAATTCTGAATGTGAATATTAAGGATTACTATTTCAGTTTCAAGTGAAACAGTTGCTCTACAGCCAAAGAGCACTGATCATACATACTTCAAGTTGTCACCTGAATATTTGTAGGGCCAAAGACTAGCTCCATTTCAGAATTCTGGAATCTCCATTTCAAAATTCCTTGAGCGTCTCCTAGTCTAATATGCCCAAGGCAGGACTATTTTTCCCCAGTCAGCCCTGACAGATGGTCAGACTGTTTCAATTACTCTAGTGGGGGAGTTCTCAAGAGAAAGTCCCCAGGGATATGATGAAAGGCTAGAACCAACCACGCAAACAGGGAGTAAGGTTCCGGTCAGTAAGCTTGCAGGATACCGATAACGTTGCCAAACACTTAAAACCAGACTTCCACAAGAATGCGATGCGCAATTAGCAATCACGAGAGTGCAACGTTTAAGGCATGTTCACCTCAGTTCAGGAACCCTCCAAAGTTCTTTCACTGGCCTGAGGTGTAGCTCGCACAATTCAAGGTGTCTTTTCTCTGATTTCTTAAAGTAAGAAATGACTTGTTAGGCTCACAGCAAGGGTTTGTCAAGTCTAACAGCATCAAATCCCTTCCTTCCTTAAACCAAGCCAGGGGGACCCCCTGGTGGAACTGCTAAGGCTTAAAATACTCTAACTTTGGTCTTAAAATCGTCACTACAGTAAAGCAGAACATTTCGGGTTTTCCTTTTAGCGGTGAATATAAGCTATGCTGTAACTGAAGTTTGGCTGGTGTACGGTTGATGTGTGGGGGTTGTTTCAAGCGCAGCCCTTCATCCCGCCTTGGAGTCTGGCTCGATCCTCCCAGGGAAGGCGAGCGCGCGGGGCTGCGCTGCCAGCACATCCCCAGCGGGACCCCAGGACGGCGCGGCCCGGCCCTTACCTGTCGATGCTTATCACGCACAGGGTCATGATCGAGGCCGTGCAGCACATGACGTCCATGGCGATGAAGACGTTGCAGAAGAAGTGGCCAAAGATCCACTTGCCCCCGATGAGGTCGGTGACGCTGACGAAGGGCATGACCGCCACGGCCACCGAGAGGTCGGCCAGCGCCAGGGACACGATCAGGTAGTTGGAGGGCTGGCGGAGCTTCTTGACGAAGCACACAGAGATCACTACCAGGCAGTTGCCCGCGATCGTCAGCAGCGTGATGAGCGTCAGGATGGAGCCGATCACAACTTTCTCGGCTCTGCCGTAGTTGATCTCCTCCCCACAGCCGGAGACATTGTCCGGGGGCGCGTCCCAGGTGGGCGCGGGGCTGGCCGTCACCTCCGGGACCGCGCTCAGCAGGTGCGGCGCCCAGGAGCCCGCGACCGGGTCGGCGCCACCGTCGGGGCTCAGGTCCGGCAGCCCGCGCCCCACCTCTGGCAGGAGGAAAGAGCGGAGGTGCCCGTAGAGGTCCGGGCGGCCGCTGCTGTTAACGTCCATCATCGTGCCGCTGTGCGCTGCTGCCCATGGAGCCGGCGCCCCCGCCACGCGCTCCGGCTGCCGGCCCCGGGGCTTCACCTCGCCGGTTCCGCTCCGCCCGGCCCAGCCATGGGGCCCGCGCCGGCCGCTGGGGGGCGCCCGGCTCGGTCTCGGGGCCCCGCACGCCCGGAGCCCCAGCCGCTGCGGGGAATGCGGTGGCGCGACCGCGCGGGGACTCCCTACGGGAGGCGCCTCGGCACCCGACGGACGCCCGCCCGGGACGCGCGGGCCGGGCTCGGCTGCAGCACCGTAGCCCGCGGCGGCCGCGCGGCTGGGCCGAAAGCGCCCGGCCGCGGCGGCGGCGGCAGAAGTTGCGGAGTGCGCCCCGCCCCTCGTGCCCGCCGCCGCCGCTCCCCTGCGGCAGCCGCGCCGCGTCCCCGCCGCCGCCGCCTCTGGCCGCTGCCCGCGCCCTCGCGCTCCCGGGCCGGGTCTCCGCGCTGGGCAGGGACCGCCGCCTCCCCCGCTCCTCCCCACTGCGCGGGGGGCGGCGCTGCACGGGATCCCGGGTCCGCTCGCTCGGGGACCTTTCCTTGCCGCATGAGACTCAGACCCGCTCCAGCAGACCCCAGCCTCCTCACAGAGTAAACGACAATTTGGCGGGGGCTTTTTCTTTTGTTAAGAGGACTAGTGGGCCAGTGGATGTTCGGACTCAAAGCGAAATGAAGAACCTAGAGGGGGAAATTTTTTTTTAATTAAAAAAACCTTCTCGAGCACTACACCAAACAACAAATACATACTTGCGTTTCCTATTTTGACCACTTATGAGGGAAAGCGAAAATAGAAAAGGAGAAACAGCCGAGTGGGATGAGGATGGCAGCTCAGAGGGGAGGGGGGGATGCCTTAGACCCTGCCTGGCACCGAGGAGGAGCTGGGGGCTCTGGGGACGGGGCCTCCAGGGGGCTTAAACCCATTCCGACTAACCCTCCTCACACTCGTCTAGAAACAGGCCTCTCAGCTCTGAAAATAGATCCTGTCTGCCTTTATATTTAGACTTCAAAGCCTAATATATTGCAATGAGGGTTAATTTTCCCAAAGCGTTCTGGAAGTCTTACACATAAGCGAAGACATGGCCGGTTATAATGTTCTGCGGGAGATTCCTGGAGGTGTATGTTGATTTAGTAACTGTTGCCTAAAATTCCCCTTAGTATTCAAACCCTGTCAGAGTGGCTGATTTTTATTATTGGTGAGACTTGCTTCATTCCATTTTGTTTAAAGGTTTTATTGGCAGCCAGCAGTGATTTCTTCAGTTTAAGACGCTAAAAATAATCAAATCTATTTTCTTTTCTAGTTATGCCCTAGTGGTTTATAAATAAAAAAGAAAAGTAACAAAGACCTCAAAATATATCGATCTGAGTGCTGAATAATACTCTTATTCAAGGTGGGAATTGGCCCTGTTTTTCCAGATAAGGAAACTCAGTTGCTGTTATAATTGGCTGGTAAGTAACAGTTATGTTTCAAACCCAGGTTTATCTGATTAGTATGCCCATATTCTTACCCCTACACATTCAACAACAACAAAAAATTTAAATGGGAAAAAAAAAATCTTTAGGATGGGCCAGTGTTTGCAGCACTTTCACTATGATCAACATTTTAGAGGCTCTCCTTTGCATGGGATAAGCAAAATCATATATTGAGTCAGAAGAAAACTGGAAGATATTAATAATATCTAGGCCACAAAGCAGTATTATTTAATAGTTAAGATGGGGCCGGGTGTGGTGGCTCATGCTGTTCTCTCCTCAGAACCAAGGAAGCAAGCTGGTTCAGTCATTCATCAATTCCTTCATGCATTCAGCAATAACCCTTGAGCACCTACTCAGGGCCACGGGTTGGGCAGGAATCTGGGATGCAAGGATAGACCTCACACTGTCCTGCCTCTGGGTGATCACGGTGTATGGGACCCACAGTGACCCCCCCCACCTCCCACTCCTAGCACTCTGGGAGGCTGAGGTAGGAGGATTGCTTAAGGCCAGGAGTTCGAAACCAGCCTGAGCAAGAGTGAGACACCCCCACTCCCCTCCAATCTCTACAATAAATAGAAAAATTAGCCAGGCCTGGTGGCCAGCGCCTGTAGTCCCAGGACTTGGGAGTCTGAGGCAGGAGCATGGCTTGAGCCCAGAGTTTGAGGTTGCAGTGAGCTCAGATGATGCCACTGCACTCTAGCCAGGGCAACAGATGACAGAATGAGACCCTGTTTCAAAAAAAAAAAAAAAAAAGACAATGGGTGAGAAAACTTCTTCAGCCTTACTGATGTTAGTATAGTGGTTCCCCCTTATTCTCAGTTTTGCTTCCCTTAGTTTCTGTTAGCTGCAGTCAGTGGAGATCTAAAAATATTAAATGGAAAATTCCAGAAATAAACAATTCGTAAGTTTTAAGTTGCACGCCATTCTGAGTAGCATGATGAAATCTCTCTCTGCCACGCTGGAACTTGAATCATCCCTTTATCCAGCTATGCGCACTGTATATGCTACTCACCCGTTAGTCATTCAGTAGCCATCTCTGTTATCAGATCAAAAAAACACAGTATATATACAGAATCCAGTACTATCCCAGGTTTCAGACATTCACTGGGGGTCTTGGAACGTTTTCCCCAAGGACAAGGGAGTACTACTGTATTAGACATAATCTCAGATGAAAGAAAAATAGTTTGTTGCTGGAAGGCATCTAAGAAATCATTTGTTCACCCTTCAATGCAGAAGAGGAAATAGAGGCTGGGCAAAGTTTAACAACTTGTCCAAGATCATTCATGACTACATTGAAATGTCTCAGTTTTGGGTTTTGAGGTTTAGAATTGTCTCAAAGCCTCTTAAAAATTCTTTAAGGTAGTACATTTCCCAAGATACTTTTGACTTTTCTCATTTTAACTTTTTAGCTCACTTTGACTTTTCTCATTTTTTTCCCCTTGAATACTCTAATCAGTTCAGCTTACATATTCTGTCTTGGCTCTTTTAAATAATATTCCACATTAATTAATTACACAAAGATTTCAAAAATTCATGGTTTTATTTTTATTTGAATCACCAGTCAATATAATTTACCACCTACACTCTTACTAGCCCTTACATAGCCCACTGATATTTCACAGAAGCTTCTGTTTCTTGCTTTTGTTTTGTTTTAGTCCCTTCAGGTTGCTATAATAAAAATACCATAGACGATGGCATGACAACGTCGATGGTAAACATTGATTTCTCACAGTTCTGGGGGCTAAGAAGTACAAGATCAAGGTGCCAACAGATTCGAGGTTCAGTGAGGGCCCACTTCTTGGTTTATAGACAGCATCTCTCTGCGTCCTCACGTGGCAGAAAGTGGCGAGTGAGCGCTCAGGGGTCTCTTTCATGAGGGCGCTACTCCCATTCATGAGGGCTCTGCCCTTATTACCTAATTACCTCCCAAATGTCCCACCCGATACCATCACATTGGGGAGCAGGATTGCAACATATGAATTTGGGGAGGAAACAAATGTTCAGTCCATAACAACTTTTAAATGTGTGACATACAAACTCATCAAGTAATCATTAAAATTCTACCTTTAACATTACTTCCCCTTCCATTGTCAATATAGCAGCGGGCCCAAACTCCCCTTTTTATACACCTGTCACCTCTCTTATATTTTCTATACTGATGGCTGAGTGTATTTCCTAAGAGTTGCTAGGTTTTTAATTTATAAGCTGTCACAATGCATAAACATAGTTATTGAAAATCTCGGCTTCTGCAGCATCTCCTTGCTTATGTTGAGTTTAAATTTCATCTATCATTGTATTATTCCAAAATCCTGACAGAACAATCTGGAATTCTTTCAGTTTCCCTCTAACCTTCACTAGCAAATCGTTGTATCTTCATAAAAATGCTAAAATCTTGTATATCCTTTTCCATAATTTTCTCACAAAGAGAAGCTAAAGATATAACTTCGCAAAATATTCATACAATATCTAAACATTCATGTAAATTTGTTGTTTTGCCCTTGGTTTCCTGGTGTTTTAAAATCCATATCAAGGTGTTGCTTCCTTGCTCCCCCTCCCCCTGCCCGCCCACTCTTTGGCAGTGATAGTGGAGATAAGTGAAGTGTTGGCATCCAAATGAAATCCTGTCTTTAGTTTCTATCCCTTTTCTTTCTTTCAAAAAAAAATAGTCCTACTGTTTTAAAGAGTACCAATTCTTGTCTAGACTCTCATTGCCTGTAATGGCATTCTCATAAAATTGTCAGCGACGACACCTGAGACTACAGCTTGCTGATGTTTCCAACTGGCAATCTCCTCTTCTCGAAACTACTCTGGGGGAGTACAGAAAAGCTGCAGAGTTCTACAGCATGAATTACTGTCTTTTTTATAAGCCCTTCTTCCCTCTAGGTACTCATCTAGCTCATCTAAATGCATGTGCTTAATGCCATCTATGCAAACCCACACATACCCATCCATAGGACGTAAGCTTAGGGTACTTTATTTTCCCATAAACCAACATACTCTGACAACCTAGATTTACTTTAAGAAGCACAAGTAGGCCAGGTGCGGTGGCTCACGCCTATAATCCTAACACTCCGGTAAGCCGAGTTGGGAGGATGGCTTCAGGTCAGGAGTTTGAGACCAGCTGAGTAAGAGCAAGACAGTCTCTACTAAAAATAGAAAAATTAGCTGGGCATGGTGGTGCACACCTGAAATCCCAGCTACTTGGAGACTGAGGCAAGAGGATCACTTGAGCCCAGGAGTTAGAATTTGCAGTGGGCTATGATAATGGCACTGGACTCTAGCCCCGGTGACAGAGCGAGACACTGTCTCAAAAAAAAAAAAAAGAAGCACAAGTAAAATAAAGCTTCCTATGTCATCAGGTCCATTGGCAACTCACTAGTCAGTCAAGCATGCTAATATCATGCCTGCTGGGGGTCCAATAACTTCCCACGTCCAATGCAGTAGTCCTGCTGTGGGCTACTCTTTCATGCTCCAGATTATTTCAGTCTCTCACTTTGGTACCCCATCTCCTCACTCAAGTAAGCTAATGGTCTGTGTGTCTCTTGACCCCAGAATTTGATGAGAAAAGACTAGAAAAACAGGAATACTTAGATAATGTAGTACTAAGCTTATTGTATCTAATTACCTAAATACTACCCTGTGGCTAGGAGTGGGGCTATAGAGCAGTAGCACTGAGACAGAACACACATCTTAGAGACAAGGACTCAAGTCTGTCAACACGGACATTTTCAAGGCCCA